CTTTAGGAGCAAGACAATGGGACACATGGAATGGAAATGATTATAATGTAAGAGTTCACTTTTGGTTTAAAAACAATGTTCAGAGCCCATTTTCTTTTTGTTTGTTTCTTCCTTTTTTTTTTTTTTTTTTAGTGAAAGTGATAGTAAAGTTTATTAGGAAAGGAATTTAGTGTAATGGGATAAAAGGAGGGAGAAATAGGGAAAAAGGGGAGAAACATTTTCTGCTCCCTATGCAGGAAATGGGAGTAAAGACTCCCAGAGTCCATTTCTTCACAAAGAAAATAGTACATGCTTATACTATCTCAAAATATCTATGCTTAAAAAAACCCCATTTTTCCGGGAAGTCTTTTTGGGCTCTCAAAGACTGGAAGAAATGTCCTGCTTTTATGTTACAAAATTCCCCATTCAAAACGCTTACAACGCCACCATAAATTGTCTGTTAATTCTGTGAAGTCAGACCAGGTCTCATTTACCTCTGAGTACTCAACCCTGTACTGTTTAAGCCAATACAGTTTGGCTTAAACAGTAAAGGTATTCGCTTAAACAGTAAAGGTAATCAATAAATATTGGTTAAATGAAAAAAATTGAACATGGTAACAAGTTTTAGCAAGAGATTAAAACATTCTGGAGGTTTGCAGTATCTTTAATCAAAATCGCAGTTTTTAAAAGTAAATATGGCAATTCTCTGTCTCAGAATTAACATCAATGTTTGCCAAAGCCCCAGATGAAACCCTGACCAGCAAAGCAAAGGCATACATGCTCGCCAATTACATTTGCATGATCAGCTGTAAAAACTAGATGTCATTTTTTTGGTATGATCTCAGTTGAAGAAACAGTCACCAATATTTTCTTTCCTTTTTTTTTTTTTTGGGTAGTACTGGGGTTTGAACTCAAGGCCTCACACACTTGAGCCACAGCCAAAGGCCCCAGTATTTTCTAAGAGTGTATATTCTTATGTAACTCCCACATAAAACTTAATTACACAACACAGGCAAAGTAATTTATAAACATCTATTTAACCTTGAAATTAAAAACATTTGCAATCAAAACAGCTAAGAGGATATACCACATTTAATTTTATACTCTCTTGGCAGTTTCATAAAAGGACACATCAAAAATTATTACCATACTAAGGTATTTACAATTACCTTTTAATATTATAAAATCTGTATTTCATATAATTGAAAATAAGATTAACTCTGTTATACTTACCCAAGGGCATTTCTTTGCTTTTCTCCAAAATCAAATGGAACAGTAATAACTACATCATTTGCATCTGAGCCCAAGACTGAATGTGCCGTTTCTGTACATTAAAAATAAAAAAAATTCTAATGACAGAAAAAAATGTCAAGCAATACTTTCTTTTTAATGCCAAAGATCTCCACTAAACAAATGTTGCAATTCACTTGAATGCCCCACCCTGTCAATTTTCTTCTCTTGTGCTCTTAAACCATGCAGTTGTGGTTTTGGTAGCAGCTTATGGACATACTAAGTCATTTAATCAAGGTACTTTCCAGAGAGCCCGGCTCTTAAGCCTCAGAATTTCAACATCTTTCAAATTAGATTGGTTCCAGAGAATGCATCAATGTGCACACATTAGTTCAATACATTAAAGGGCCACCTTCTATCTCACAAGATCATAACAAAATTCCAGAGTTGAAATAAACTTTATAAATCTACTCCAGAATTTCCTAAACCGTTCCATAGAATATTGCCTAACTCATTGAGTCTTTATCTGAAGTAGTGATAAAATCAGACCTAGCCTGAGTTACTATTGAGAGTTCACTGCCAATCATGAAGAGAAATATAATATTCAGTATTCACCAAACTATTTGCCTGTTAAATCTTAAGACGTTTTGAAAGTGCTAATTAGTCCCATTCCATTTACATTACAGGTTGAACATTCCTAATCCAAAATCCTGATATCTGAAATGCTCCAGATCAATGCTAAAAGTTTTGGATTTTAGGACATTTCAGATTTCAGATTTTTGGATTAGGGATCCTCAACCAATAGGATCAATACAAATATCCCAAATCTAAAATATTCCCCAAAATGAAATACTTCTGGTCCTAAGCATTTCAGATAAGGAATACTTAATCTGTACTTAGAAGGAAAAAGAAAGTTGTGGAAGGTAAGGCATTTAATTAAGGTCACATAACCACCTGGCCAAACCAGGTCTACAGTTTAGGTCTCCTTAATCTGCTCAATCCATCTGCTTCTTCCAAGATCCAAAATTACTAGTGTTTCAATGTTAACTTTTAAAGTTAACTGTTATCCTTTTGTTCAATACCTTTCATTTTACTAAATATCAGTCTGGCAACATCTTCTGGGTTAACAAATTTTGTTTCTTCTCCTGTATCTATTTCGTATCGTAACTTCCCATTTTTTTCAACGACCTATAAAAGAAATCATAATTGTCCTAAATACAGAAAAATTTTAATAAAAATGCAATTTCAAGTCAACATTATATTTCATCACCTTTGCCCATCACTCTGTATAACAGGGAAGCGATAATAGAACCATACTCACTAAACATTTACTTTCCGAGATGTATTTCTGAGCTTGTGGATCATCAGAGCTGTCCATGAAGAAAAATACAAAGATAGCTGAGCATTAAAATTGATACTGTAGATATAAAAGATTTAAATACTATATTTTCAATACCACTAAATATTAAAATACATAAGCAAAATCATTAAACTGTTCAATAAGTCTTTAATTCAGAAGATAGAATTAAATGGAGTATTTATAATGGTTACAGTAATCCTACTAAAATGTTCACCTTCACAGTTGACAGTAAATAATTTCTTGTTCTGACCTTGCTCCACATTTTGGGTATGACTTTTCATAATATCAATGATATATCAGACACCGTCACACCTGTGATTCTAAAGACCTTATTACTGAGATGAAGAGGGCAAAAGGAGATAAGACTGAAAACTAAGGGAAAAGTCTTAACACCATCTTTGTTGCTTGGCTTCTAACCATAAAATAAACACCCCAAACCAGACAGATGTATTAATAATGCCCCAAAGCACTCAATGTTTACTTACGTAATAAAAAACAGCAAGTTATTTTGCTCAAGATCATAGTGCCAATTTATAGACTATTACTTTCACACTTATGATCAATCTATTTGATCCTTGTAACAACTAGGTGGAATACATTTGGTGGGTGTTGTTTCAGAGATTAACAAATTAATGAGCTTATTATAAGCTAGTAAGACACAGAGCTAGGATTTGACCCCAGCCACTCAGGTTTACACATTAGCAGACTACCTTCTACTAATACTATAAATGATCACTATACTTCTTCTTGAGGAGGATGGTTCTCAGGCTCTTGGCTTAATTTCACTTAGAATTTAAGATGACTCCTTTAGTCTCTGAAGGAGCTATGTCAATTCTACATAGAATCCAGCCTTACATGTTTAATAGCTGAAAATTAATACTGGCTAATTTTGGAAGGGTTAAAGAACATCCGAGGACCCTAACTGTGTACAATAGGGGCTTAAAATGGGCTAATCTGGCTTAGAAACCTGGAATACTTTTGCAGGTTCCTCTTACTTTTTCCCCATCACCTAAAATATCAATAAACAGGAGAGACATAGAAGCTTCTCCAGAGTGATACAGTTCATCAGTGACAAAACTCACTGGCAACCAGACCTTCCATACAAAGTTTAATACTCTTTCCAGTAAACCCCCTACTCCTTCCTTTTCCTAACGCACTATCTGGACTATGTATCAGAAAAATAATTTTAAGAGTAGTAAAAAAAGATGAAGTTGGCCCACGGGATTTTGAAGCAAAATAATTTCTGCAAGACATTCATAGGCTGTTTTCTTTAGGACAGAATGTAAGTCAACCAGGAAAAATTATCCTAATAAGTTTATGTCCCACTCAGGGTAATTTTCAAGGAAGGATATTTTATGGAATTTATAGGACTCTTTGAAATAGAGGACTATTTCTCAACTGCCATAAAAAAACACCTTTTTCATCTGAGGGCAGAAAGCACAAGTAGCTCTGAGGACACACATACACAGGCAAGACACTGGACACTGAAAAGCAGGCATGTAGAAAGCAAAGAATGGAAGACAAAGGATCACAGTTATCCTCAGAAAGTAGCGGACAGAACCATGATTACACATAGTAAAAACTTTATTTGTCCACACCAAGATTAAATTACTTAACAGGAAAACAAAGGTAGTGGGAGGCTGGCATACATAGCACCTCATTCACATCATGTTTATCCACCAATACATCACAACCCTTTACCAGCAATGCCATTCCTCTTCCTCCTCCTCCTTAGGTGTCTCTTACAGTAGTCAGTACCCCACCCCACCCCCAACTTGGCAACACCAGCACTCAAGCACTACAGGATCTCCTTTCCCACTCCTGTTACATTATAGTGCTTAAGAGTCTAACAGTGTTTTACAATCATCTATTCACTGGATCCTCACAACAACCCTGTGAGGTAGGTAGGACAATTCATTTCCACTTTAGATGAGGAACCTGAGTTACTGAATGGTAAAAGGCTTGTCTGAGGATGTCCAGGCAGTAATGGTTGGGCTTGGAGCTTAGGCTTGCTTTCTTGAACATGGTCTCCGCTTATTGCAACTTCTCTCCCCTTAGTGTTTTGTTTTGTTTTTTTTTTCCTCTTCAGGACCTTTCTCTTGCACTGTATTCCTACATTATGGCTACTTTGCCCATTAGATTTTCACAGTATTATCTTTAAGTTTAACTCTACTTCTGTTTCTTAACACTTCTCTTTTCTCAAATAAATCCCTGCCTTTATACTTCGCTACCACTAATAGATTTGTATGGCACAGGTCTTCGTTAAGTACTTCCCTGTCTTTCCATAAAAACATACTTATCTGTATTAGTGTTAATCTAGTTATAACTGACATATATCCTTCCACATAACTGAGACAATGTATACATATGTATCCATTTCAATGCCTTAACATAAGCTCTTGAAAACAATTTATATGTCAGTATGGTGCTTAGAAGGTCAGGGTATATTAATAAACATTAATACCTTAGATTGCTCTCTTAAAATTGTTACCAGTATTTTAAACATACAATAGTATACTGCTATGACTGAAAATGTTACAGTTAAAATTTCACGTTCATTTTGCCTTTTTCGTTATGCTATTTAAAATTTTCTTAGAACTGAAAGGTACTAGGAAAAAATCATCTAGATTTCTCAATTTAGAGATAAAGAAATCGAGGCACGAAAAGGGTAAGTCATCTGCCCAATGAAAACACTGTGACAGGATTAGCATCAAGGGGACCTAACTAGATTTAAGTGTACTCTACCACACTGATACTTCATATATCCACCACTCATTCTTCAGAGTGGTGCTCACTAGCTGTACCTTTTGGTTTCAGGTAGGTCTCACTGATGTTTTGACCATTTCTTCACCTGTGTGCATTTTCAGCACTTAGGTAAGCACCCAGGTCTACAATGTATAAAACACAACCTCTCCCCACACACCTGCTAGGCAGTCACTCTATCACTTGAGCCACTCCACCAGCCCTCCAGCTTCTTGATTACAGGAAAGCCTTTCCAATCCCAAAGACTCCCATTTGTGTTTCCTCCTAAAAGTTTTAAGTTAGTTTAGTGATGGCAAGTAATGGTTTTCTTTCTGAAGTCAAGTGGAAGTGGTGCTTATCACTTTTATCTCTTCCTAAGAATGTGTGTGTTGGGGTGAGGGAAATGTATTTTTTGAGGGCTTATGCTTAAAAAGAATTATCTATAGCAGGCAGTTTTTATCCATACCACCCTCTAGTGTTCTCAAGGCTAAAGGGAAAACAAAGTTGGTTTCTTTCACCATATGCCATTAACTAGATAAATTTTTGCCTACATCATTTGAGTAAAAGTGACCTAGGAAGTTTTCTAGGGCTTGCCCTCTATAACATACTAGGCCCAACCCCTGCCCCAAACCAAAAACATGGCTAACAGAAAAGAGTGAAATTAGCTCAAAACAGATTAGAAACTGATATCATCCAAATTGTTTCCATAATGTTCAAATGGTAACCAAAATTTAAAGATATAGCTTATGCACATAAAAGGACCCAAATGATATGAAATGCAAAGAATTTACTTACATTTACTACCTTATAGAACAGTTAATATTTCACCAAATCAAAGATCACCAATAAGAAGTGTTAACACACTACTGCAATTCCCATCAGTTCTTATATTCTTATCTTGATAGAAGACTAAGAAGTAGTAAAACGAAGAGGGAAAGCTGATTTGACTATTAAGAGTGCTTACTAGAAGATATGTCAGACACAGCAGTGAAAATGAGACAAAGATACAAATACACATTGTGCCTAGACTAGTCTAACAAGCCACAGAAGGACTTAAAAAATTAAGATTTCAAACTCCACAAAGCAGTCAAATTAAACTAGTAAAGATTCAAGCAATCAGGTCATGGTATACAACCACACTTATGTATTTTGTAAACTAGTGTGCTGACCCCAGCCTTGCTTTAGCCGAGGTCATATGCATTAATAACTTACATTTGTATAGTGCTTTTAAACTTTTAAGTTCTTTCACATCTATTAGCCATCTGATCCTCACAACAACCCTGTGAGGTAGGCAGGGCAGGAGTTATTATTAGCTATCTCCCCTTTTCACAGATGAGAAATCTGTGGAAGAGAGATAAAGGAAATTGCCTCACATTGAGGAAGTCAGGACAAACTAACACTCTTGGACTTGGCTCCATGTATTTTCTATCAGGCACCTACCATTTCTTAAAGATCTTTCATTTAGTGGAGAATCTTGGGAAAGGGAACTCACAGAGTATACTCCTACTATTCTGCTTATTAATGACTCATTTACTTTCTAAGGACAGAAAAGGAGCCATGGTACCAGAAGGCAGGTGTTGGAAGAAGACTTCTACCACTTTAGGAAATACATTCTTTCGCAATCAGTTCCTAGCTTTTGGTATTTGAAATCAACCTTTGAAGCAATTTTTCAAGCCCTAGCTGAAAAGCACCAGTTGCTTCTTCCACTGCTGTAGCCAAGCGTCTGACTGCGATGACAGCATCCCTGCGCAGCTCATTGGCAGTGTCTTGCTGGGCACTGGCCTCCTCACCAATAGCAATCAACCTATCCAGTTTTTCTTCCTCCCGCTTTGAAAGTTCTCGTGCCAACCTCCTGTTTTCTGCCAACTCAGCTGCAATAGTCCTGGCCACTGACCGCCTTCTTCGCCTTGCCCACCTTGGAGGAGGCTCACTGGTCAAAGGCCTATCCCCACCAGAGACCAAACCAACTGCAGAAGAGGAACCTGGAGGCTGCAGAGTGGAGGCTGCCCCTCGAGGGTTTCGGTTGGTGTTGGTGCAGGGACTGGGTTCACCGGACACACTCAGTCTGGTCATGGGGCTGCTCTGACAGGGAGCAACTGCACCTCTGAAAAGGCTGTGGGAGCTGCTGTAGCTGGGGGTCCCTTGAGAGCACCCTGAAAAACAAAGCAACAACGTTGCAAAGAGGACATTCCTACTAAGGGAATGCTTGGAGCCAGCAGCAGAGCTGAGAGACAGTTACAAACTTGGGTAGTTCTTCAGAAGGCGTCTTTCCACAGGACTGGAAAGAATCCTTCCCCTTATTTGGACATTTTGGCCAGTTGAATCTTATCTCCAAAACATCCCCCTTGCTTTCCTGAACACCTTTTCATACAGGTAACAACCCAGTCTTTACCCATAAATTCCTAACTACCCATTACAAACAAGGCCAACACTAGTTTGGCTCTAAAGAGCATGTTGTCTACGCTTAGAGTTTCTAAAGTCTTATATACCTAGGATGAAAGCTTTTAAATTCCAGAGGCCTTATGTTTGAAAAAAAGGGGTGAGGCAGAACTCAGGGCTATGCGGAAGAGGGCACAGTCCAAACATTCACTGCTGTTTAGAAGGAAGTGACTCTGAGATCCCAATCCTTCACATGCTTAGGGAGTTACCTGCACCCGAGGATTCATCCCAGGAGTCCTCAAGGTCACTGGTTTCTTGTATCTGGTCACTGATTCTCAGCTGACAATCCTCATCTGATTCCTTAACTGTTTTCAAGAAAGGCTGATGATCAGCTGCCTGAGTCCTTTTTGCTTTCAGAATGCTGGTTCCCTCTTCCCCCGGGGTGTCAGAGGTCACTATGTTCTGATCACAGTGCTTGGCCCATGCAGCAGCCTCCATTAAGTTGTCTGGATCAGTCACTATCTGATTGCGGAGAAGCTGATCCAACGTATCATAAAATGGACAGTGTGGTGGATCACCCATACTGGTGGCATGGGCAACATAGGCCTTTAAATATAATGCCTTCAGAACTTTAAACTTGGAGCGGCACTGGCGTTCGGTGCGGCGGAAGCCTTCCTGCTGCATCCGCTTAGACACAGCCTGATAGACATCTGCATTATGATGTACAGTCTGGAGGCGTTGAATATACTCTGCCTCACCTAGTATGGAGAGAAGAGTTCGTGTCTCCTGTCTGGACCACCGGATGCCCGCACTGCTATTGGTGGTGGCCATAGTAAGCTGGGAAAGAAGGCTACTGAAGCAAGCTCCTGGGCCACAAGGTGCAAATTTGAAGGTGTGGGGAAGCTCTGTGTGCTCTCAGTATATTTCCAGGAGCCAGCCGCTTCTTCCCTTTCAGGGCTAATTGCTGAGGAGCCAGGTCCAAGGACCGCACTTCTGGCTGGAAGGCCACAGGGGAATGACAGTTATAGGGAAAGTATAAGGATCATTTTGGCAGCAAGTTAAGCAGAGCTACCCATGAGTAAGTCACACATAGGCATGAGGCCCAGACTGAGAAAGCCCAACTTTGGGAGTTCACTCAGCATGGATACTGGACCAGGGCTCAATGGCTTGGTAACAAAATGACTGGCTCCTCCACAAAGGGCAGAATGCTTCCAAGGCTGAGACCTGGTACAACCATGTATCTGTAAAAATCACCATTGTCTGGTAAGTAGTCAGGCCAAAGAGAATAACCTGGATAATGAGGTAACTAACTCTAGAGAAGTTCTAGTAGGATTGTGGATAGCAGTATATCTGACTAGTACATGTCCTTTACTAATCCTGGCCTAAGTAGCATGCTGTGAGTATGTTACCCAACTAACTTACTATAACTACTTACTCCTTTACTAAAGGTAACTTTTAGGACCAGAAAAGTTGTTCTAATACAAAGTTTTGTGTGCAATATGGCAGAATTTAGCTGTATCATTTTTCTAGCCATCTATACCCAAATAGCAGCATAAGGAAAACAAAGTTGGTTACCACGGAATATAAAGAAGTGTTCTGTATCTTGATTACATCAAAGTTAGCTTCCTGGCTGCCATACTAAACCATAGCTTTGCAAGATGTTACCACTGGGGAAAGCAATAAATCCAACAATACACTGGATGCCTGTTTCTTACAACGGCATGTGAAACTACAGTTCTCTCAAACATAAAAAGGTAACTTATAAAAAAAAATTGTTGACCTCCCAGTGATTCTGGCTTCAAGACCCATTACAACAGCCTGCTTTTTGAATTTATGATTTGAACATGTTTAATACCAACCAGTTTGTGTTTGATATGCTTAGTACCAAATTTTGTCAACAGGTAAAAGGATATGTGAATCTAATCATCATCACAAAAATCTGAATTCTCTCCAAAATACTATAATATCAAATCCACCTCAATTAAACACAAGTCAGAGCTAGTAAAATAAATGCATACGTAAAAGAAATATATATTAAATTTAATCTATAATTTTCAAATTCTGAAATCAACACAAGGAAATGTCTACTTAAATTCTCATTAAATTAAGTAGAAGGGACAGAATTGGGCTGAGAGTTAGGAATCCTGAATAGCAGTCTTATCTGGTTCCCCCTCTAAGCAATGCTACAGCTTCTATGTGTTTGATGTTCTCATCTATAAACAGGGAAGGATAGTAGTACCTGCCCTACCAATTTTTACAAGGACGTTGAGAAGATTAAATAAAAAGAGTAGATGTGAAAGCACTTTGAAAAATTTAAAAACACTCTGAGAAGTACTACTACTCTAGTGAAAATGAAAACCCTTAATTATTATGGTAATCTATAATTTGAGGAGACAGAAGTCTGGGGAAGCAGGCCTCTTTAATCTTCTAATTAAACTTACAACAGATGATTAACCTGATTCTTACATAAGACATTAACTAAGCTGTTTCTCTAATGATTACATTTGTAAGCCAAATGGAAAAGTCAGTTTCCAGAAAGTGTCACAAAGGACCTTAAGGAAAAAAATCAATAGCAGCTACATAAAGTATGACCAATTATAGTATTTTGCAAAATTCAGTCATCATGCAAGGAATTCTTCAAATTCCCACAATTTAAAAAGAAATATAAACATGTGAAAAGTGCAAATTCCCACCTCTGAATGACAAATTATCAAAAGTAAATGAATGGGAGTGGGGGAGGAGGGGAGAAATGGCCCAAACAATATATGCACATATGAATAAAAGAAATAAAAAAAATAAAGTAAAATAAAAACAAGATTGGAGAAAAGTCCAAAAAAAAAGTAAATGAATGCTGACATTCATCAATACTAACAGACTTGTCAACAAGAATCAAATGTCTGAGTAAATTTCATTCTTGAGAAGATCCAACACTAATGAAAAGAAATAGCCTACTGGGGTAACTCTCTGAAATAACTAAGTCATAAAAAGCAATGACATAAAAAACTGTGGCGCTTCTAGTTTCATTTCACATGATGCTTAGAATTTACAGGCACTTTTTTGGTTGCCATATTTTAAAGTATTTTATTCCATACCTTCTGCCAAGAATCTGCTTTACTTTCATTACTGTATTTGAAATATTTCTTATTCTACTTTGTTTTGCTGCCAGTCCAACCACCTGAAAAAGAGCAACACATTATAATGTATGTAATCTTTAATTATATCCAAGTACAAAAATGAAGAAAACAGTACCTCTTCATTTTCTGAGTATGCAACGACAGCTGGAGTAACTCTATCACCTGCATCATTTGCAACCACATCAGCCCAGCCATCCTAGAGAAAAAACACAACTATGTTACATCTTCTAAAATGAAATATATACTCCCCTTACTTAGACATATCACACATGTGCGCCACTGTTGTTTTGTCTTCACTATGCCAATAATTGAAACTTGGAGATTTAATTCCCACTATTAACTTCCTAGATATATCATTGCAGGCATCAGGAACTGCCTCATTTTTTTCAGCCTGCTCTGCATAGTCAATAATTGGATCAGACACAACAACCACCTTTCTATACACAGCAACAAACATTTTTACACTGCTTTACTTCTATTCTTTCTCCCACGAATACCCCTTTTTTCTACACTTTTTTACAAACTAAGTAGTTAATCCCTTTGGACTTTCCTTACAAATCACCTGACATTTAAACGCGGGGAGTTATCACTGTCCCTTCTGCCTCGATATTGAGGAAGGCCACAGCTCCTTATCGACCTCGTGCTCACAGAAGGGCTAAGTCTGCAGAGCACGCAGGGTCTACTCCCATCACAGCCAGGCAAGCTCAAGATCTCGGCCGGAGACCCAGCCCCTCGTGAAGTCCCAGAGACCGCTCGCCTCCGGGAATCCTAAGCCCGTGACGTCAGCGAGACCCCTCCGGGCACCTGCAGCTCTGATGTCACCAAGACCCATCGGGCATCTCGTCCCAGGACCCTCCCAGCATCCTGCGGTCCACAAGTTCCCGGAAGGTGTCCAGGCATCCTAACAATCACTACGGCTGCCCACCACCGCCCAGACCATTCCGGAACCCCCTCGGGCAACCCCTTAAGACTCCACCCGGCACCCTATGGCCCTCAAGTCCCCGTGATCCCTCTGAGTATCCTGTGGCCGTGACGTCCCGGGATTGCTCAGGGCATCCCGCCGCCACTACATCCCCAGAACCCTAGGCGCCGGCGTCGCCAGAGCCTCAGCCAGGAGAAGTGACAGGGGATGAGGTCGAGCCAGCTAGACCTCGAAATGTCCTGCAGCAACGCCACTCCACGAGGCATTCGTAGGCCGAAGACACGCCGTTCTTTAAGCCTCGTAGATGACCCGCCGCCCAGAGAACATGAAACCCGTGGCGCAGCTCCCTTAGCCCCTCACCTTATAGACAGCCACACAGGCTGATGTGCAGCCCAGGTGAACCCCGATAGCCGCCATGAGGCGGCAGGGATCCCGGCGGCAGTAACGAGGGGTCGCCCAGAGGCCTCAGTTACACGCCACAGAGCAGCCCCATCAGGCACCGCGGAGACTTCACGTTCCCGCCCGCCCTCTGCGTCCGGCTCGCTGTGCCGGCCCCCCGAGTGGCCACCAATCAACGTGAAGGTTCCGCCTTTCCTCGCGCGCAGTCAGCGAACAGCTTTAGTGCATCTCTCCGTGCTTCCCCCCAGGAGCTGCACAGAGCGTGCGCACAGGGCGCACGCGCCTGCCGGGGCACGACAGGAAGAGGCTTCTTATCACCTCCTCCTCCCGTCCCTTTCATGAGAACCAATAGAAATTCTCGCCTGAGCCGCGTCATTTGTCCTAGCAACCGGGGGCAGATTTTGTTTTTCCTCCCGAACCCATTGCTAGACTCCGGGGCTTACTGTAGTGGCCGCGTGCGACTGCAACGCGGGTCGTGGCGGCGATTTGGTGCTGCTGGGTCAGCATGCGGTGTGCGAGTCCAGCTGCCTTGCTGGCCTTTTGCGCCGGGCTCTGGGCCTCTAACCCGGTGCTGACTCAGGGCCAGGAGGTCAAGGGGCAGCCCGGGGCTGACTGTGAAGGTGAGCGGTGTGTGACCTGCTTGCATGGCGGCGGCACCGCGCTGCAGCGCAGCTGTTGTCGGTTTTGGCTTCTTATGGCCCTGGCTGTAAATAACATTTCATCCACGAAGTACAGTCCCTTTCCCTAATTTCAGACCGCCTTTCCATGCCTAGGCAAAGGCCTGCTGACACCTTGAGGCCACTTTGTGGTTTTGCTATGAGTATTGCCTCATTAAAGGCTGGTGAGTTGGGATTTGGATCAGATTTTGTGCAAACGCTGCTAGATTTGAATACCCTGTTGCTTCTAACCTGCAAGACTCGCCTCTCCTTGCATAGAAGACATTTTTCCGGCTCAAACTAGTTTGTGACTCTCAAAAATAAAACACGACAATGAGTTGGGGTGTATTAAAATCAGAGGACAGAGCTAACATTAGTTAGCATTTCATAGGTAAAAGTTGCTTTACAAAGGGGTATATTAACTCCTTGAGTAGGGGAAGATACAAAAAAAATCAAAAACTGGTTCTTTGGTTTGGTTTGTCAGTTGTGGACTTGCAGTCAGTACACATGGATCTAGGTCCCACGAAGCCCTCAGGCTTTGAGGCTGTTCTACCTGGTTTTTGCAAAATCAGCATACCTTGCTTTAGAAGGCTATTAAAAGCAAAGAAGAGGGTCCAGCTTCCTCCTGGACCATGTAGCTCTTCCTCCCTGTTTCATTACAGTAATACCCCTGAGTTTGAGAATTATCTACTGAACTGCAAATTATAGGCCCATAATATAGGTCAAATGAATGGAAAAGTATAGTCTGTACTGTAACTAAATAAAGTCTTAATAATTGGAGTCCAGTTTTCTATCAGCAATAATTAAAATTCTCTCCAGAAATTTAAAGCATCTACCTGATGTTATTTTAAAAACTTGATACAAAGATATTGTTTCACTAAGTTACAGTTTTGCTTAATAATACCACCGTGTTCTATTCATCTGTGAGGCATGCACCATTGATCTGATGAGTCATCAGTAATTTGCTAGTGCTTCTACCTAAAAACATTTTGGAAGAGACAGAGCGTCTGGATTAATTAAATGGGAGGCTTATGTCACCTTTCCTAAATTTATTACAGCCTGTTGTGATTATTAACTTGCATGTCAGGTTAACCTGTGTATATAACTTCATTGTTGAGTAAAGAGGCAGTATAATCACAATGGAAGGAAAGAGTTTGGAACAAGAATTAGTTCTTAGCTCTGGCTAAGATCTTAGATCTGGATATTACTACTTATGAGCTTTTTGTATTAAAATACACACTGTATTTGTATAGAACAAAAGTAAAACATATGCTACATTTCTAACTGGGAGATTTCATATAAAATTTGAGATTTCTGGCTGTTCTTGAAAACCCAGATGACCTGGCAAGGCTGCCTCATTTGTCGAGGTAGTGAGAATTGGCTGTGACTGATCTTTTTAGGAAGTACATATGTATTTAGGTTTGGGGAGGTTTTATACTTGTTTTTCTTAATTTTTCTTAATTGGTCACTGTGATACCAGACTGGATGTTGTTTCCCAGGTTCGTGTCCTGGCACAGTCAATGATTAAAGGCGCTGGACAAGCAGTTAAGAGTTAAAGCAAGTTCATGCCACAGACCAGGAGTTAAGAGTAAAGCAAGCACAAAGTCTATTGAAAGGGTAGCAAAGCACCCTAATGGGTGGGACTTAGTGAAAGAGCTAAGCCAAAGGATGACTGAAGTGCATGAGATTATATAGATGCCAATTTAGGCACCCCTTCCCACTCTAATTGTGACTGTAATTGACTGTTAAATTGACTTTTGGTCAAGCCTGACCATCTAATTGCCCTCCATCCTTAACAGACTGGACATTCCAAGAGGGTCTCCTTAGTCCATCCTGTCCTTGAGGTTTATCACCTATATTTTATGACTACCACTCATTATTCTGCTGAGACCCCTTTTTTGTTTATCTTGGGAAATTTTGTGGTTACTCTCCTTTTAGGGTCTATATTTCATCCCTTTAGAGTCTGCCTTTAGGAATGTTTTATCTTGTTTTCCTTATCTAGAAAGAAAGAGTGCTGTCCCTCCACACCTATGTGCGAAGCTGATTTCTCAAATCTCCCTAAATGTTTTGCTTTTAAGTATGCCTTCTTGTCTCCTTTATCTAAAATAAAGATTCTTCTGCCATTTTATTTCCCCTCATATTTGTCCCCTTGCACCTCCAGGTATTTAAGTTTGTGAGCCCTGTACCTAGGTAATGTGAGTCTTACTGGATCTCTATTTTTTGGCTTCTTACTTTTTTTTTGGTATTTTGAGACAAGGCCTCCCTATGTAGTCCAGGCTGGTCTCAAACTCACCATGTAGCCCCAGGCTGGCGTTAAACTTCCTGGTGCCTCAGCTTCCCAAATACTGGGATTACAGTACATGCTGGGCTTGCTAGATCTCTTTAAAAGGACTGTATTGTGAGATTGCTTTTTAAAAATCAATCTGGAAATAATTTTAGATTCATGTATAGGACTGTTTTTAATGAACAACCCCCCAAAATGTAAATAAAAGAAATGTGGTCATTTGAGGTTATGATATCAATAAATACGTGCCAGAATAAGTTACCTTCTTGCTAAGTGATTCATGTAAGATCTTGGACTGCTCTGTAGCATGTGCCACCATTGACTTCTTTTAGAAACTCTTCCCTTGGTGGCCTTGATGCTGTTGTTTCCGTTGTCTTTGCTTCCTGTCTCTGTGCCCATTTGGTAACAGTGTTTGTGGGCTTCTAGTCTTCTAGCCATAGTTTAAATACAGAATTCTCCAGCGTGCTGCCCTCTATCCTTCTCTATTCTTGATCTATGTACTTTTCAATGCAATCAAAATCACCTACCTGCTAGTCTGGTAAATCCCAAATCTCTGTATCCAAATCAGCTCCTTTCTGGTCCTTTCCAGACCTTGTGCCCACTGGACTACTGAACATCTTGCATACCTTAAACTCAACAGTCAAAAACCAAAGTCATCATCTTCCTCTTTCTCACTCCCCCCAAACCTGTTCTGCTTATAGAGTCAGTATGGATTAACTTCATGTCAACTAACCTGAATTCCAGGCTTCTCTTTTTCTCTTACTCCTCACAGCCAAACTATCTCTATGTCCATTGACTCTACCTCTAGATGGTCACATGCTCCTTTCTTCTTCTCTGAGTCCAGTCCCTTGTTACAGACCTTCACTGTTTCTGCCTTCCTTCCTGTACATTTCCTCCTCCTTTCTCTCTAGATCCCTGTAAGTTTCATCATTTTCAGTGGTTCCCCAGTTTCCTGCAGGTAGCTCCCTCTCCTTTGTTTTCCCTTAGTACCTAGTACTCATATGGGTCAGTAACTGTTTTGGTCTCCTCTTCCATGCATTCTTTGAAATTCAAGACTGTATCTCTCACCACATCATTTTCAGCAGCTGCACTCAATTTATTGACCAAATGGATGTATATATGCTATATGTGGCATATTTTCATGTATCTTTTGTTGAGTCAAATGTATGTCTTTAAACGCACAAGTTAGAATTCCTGACTGTTATCATCTAGAGGATAAATTGATGGACAAGGTACAGAAATTGTATGGCGATATATTGTAAGGAATAAGGTAAGAAGTGGAAACATTGGGATCCTGGGAAAAAGATAAACATATACACAAAAACAAATATGATCATATACAAACGTATATGTAGAACATGTTTATAATAGTGGAACTACTCTATGGAACTTGGGGAAGAAGGAAAAGGGAATGCTACAGCATCAACAATATTGTAATACATAACATCTGTGAAAGTAGAGGATATAAGGATATGTATTGAAAGCTGTTGAAGATGGGGGGGTGGGAGGGAAGGGGTAAGGGAAAGCAATGGAAGGGGTTGAAATGACCAAAGTAAAGTGTACTCACAGTGGGAATACATCAAGAAACCCCTTTGAACATCATCTTAGAAATTAGTAACTAAAGACAAGCCTGTAAAATAGGTACAGTGTTTGTAGAGGGGTTACTTGTGGAAGGGGAAAGGGTGAATGAAGGGGATTAACATGAAGGTATATGGCTGATGGACTTCATATATGAATTAGAACAATGAAACCTCTTGCAACTCCTTTAAATGGAGCGGGAGGCAGTTGAGAGGGAGAGATTGTGGAGGTGATCTAACCAATGTACAACGTAAGGCTATTCAGAATTGTTCCAATGAATTCCCCTGTACAACAAATATATCCTAATTTGAAAAATGAGAGGTTGCTGGGAAATGGATGAAGTTTTGCTGACTGTGTTGATCATGACAGTAGGTGTGTCTTTGCAGGTTTAATATTTGCTAATTAACTTCAGCACAATACATGTTGGGAGGGATCCCAGTTTTTACATTGTCAGTAGCACTTAACTCAGCTGATCACGTAGACATTCCTTTAACACTTTCCTCACTGGCCTTTATTCTCATGCTTCCTGGCTCTTTTTTTCTGTTTTTAAACATTGACGTTTCAGGAGGACAAGATTTAGGACTGTATCTCCTCTCCATCTCCCCTTAGTCTGAGGTCTCATCTTATGAATATTATTTGAATGTTAATGACTTACAAATGTATGTATCATCCTAGACCTTACCTCTGATTTCCAGGTTTATAGTCATGTGCCACATAACATTTCAGCCAAAGATGGGCTGGACATACAGCAGTGTTCCATAGGATTATTTTTTTTCCATAGGATTATAATGGGGCTGAAAAATTCCTATCACTCCATGACATCGTATTGCCAGGCATTACTCAGGTGTTTGAGGTGATATTTGTGTAAACAAACTCACTGTACTGCCAATCATGTAAAAACATAGCACATATATTTATGTACAGTACATAATACTCGATAATGATACAAATGGCTAGGTCACTGGTATGTGTTTACTATGCCTTTTATCATTATTTTAGAGAGCACTCTTCCTATTCTGAAACAATAAAAGTTAACTGTAAAACAGCCTCAGGCAGGTCCTTCAGGAAGCGTTCCAAAAGAAGATATTGTTGTAAGAGAGAA